TGGAGGTTGCTGTGAGCTGTAATGCCACGGCACTCTACCCAGGGGGACAGCTTGAGGCGCTGTCTCAAAAAAAAAAAGAAAAAAGAAATTGCTTCTTGCTCTTGTTCAGGCTGGTCTTGAACTCCTGAGCTCAAGGAATCTTCCTGCTTTTGCCTCCCAGAGTTACGATTATAGATGTGAGCCCTGGCGCCTAGACTGCATAAATCTTTTTTGATTCTGGTGTGTTCCACCTCACTAAAATCAGCATGCTATAAGTCTGAGTTCAATATTTTCTCTTTCATGGTAACTTGAGTCTAAGTTAATCTTTACCTTCTTTGAACTCCCAGGCCAGCTCTGCTATGACTCTATCATGAAAACCTGACATAGACTGTGTTGGATTTCACACAAAAAATCTTTGTGGCTTTTAAAGATTATCTTCTCATGACAGTGCCCTGAAGAGAAAGATCTATATTATTTTTTCCTTTATATCAATGCTGAGCCCAAAATGGTATTTGATGAACATCACTAATTTATTATTATAGAGTCAGATATCATAGGAGATACTTTTTATATTACTATTCAACAAGACTTTTCAAATTATTTATTTTTTTACATGCTCACTAGAAAGACATATAAGGCTTTGTTTTAATGTTTCCTTGAGAAGGTTCAAAGAAAGCAAAAAATCCCATTACCATTTTCAATGTGTAAAATGGTAATTGGAACTAACCAAACATGCTCACATTAAAATATCCCAAAATTTGACAAGTGGAGCCTGGCATGGTGGCTCACGCCTGTAATCCTAGCACTTTGGGTGGCCGAGGCAGGTGGATAGCTTGAGCTCACAAGTTTGACACCAGCCTGAGCAAAAGTGAGACCCTGTCTCTACTAAAAATAGAAAAAAACTGAGGCAAGAGGATCACTTGAGTCCAAGAGTTGGAGGTTGCTGTGAGCTGTGACGCCACAACACTCTACCCAGGGCAATAGCTTGAGACTCTGACTCAAAAAAATTGACAACTAGGTATTAAAAGAAAATGGACCTTAAAGAATGTAAACATTGGAGAAGCCTTTTTTTTTTTTTTTTTTTTTGAGATCATGAAACATTGGCTCTAAGTCCTAGATAGAATGAGAGGAGATGGGGCAGACCAAGTTAAGGTGGAGAAGGAACATGAGCAAAAGATCAAATTTAGAAGTCTAGAATCCATGGAAAAGTTAAGAATTTGTTGAGGACTAGTGGAATGCACACTTAACCCTGTGAGCAAATTCATATCTTGCATAGTTTAATGTACCAGGCTGATTACCCTGAATTTTTCAAGTGGTCATTATTGGTAGAAGTAACACAGAATGCTGCTTCTCACTGGTTGAAGTAGAAAGGAAAGAAGAGAGGAACAAAATCCCCACTTTATAAAGAGATGTGGGTAAGAGGAATGTGTACTAATAGCCGTGGCCCACTCACACACAGTCTAGCTTCACAGAAATGATAAGGAAGAGGCTGGGAGTGTCCTATTAATTAATACTCCATAGAGAGGGAAACTCAAGAGTGGGGAATTGCAATTCTCCCCTAGATTTTTTTAAATGGAGCAACAGATTTGGGATTTATAATGTTTTGAGTATAGGAGCAAAAAAAGTGACTTATAGAGCAAAGCAGCATTCTGGAGACTAGTTAGGCAGATAGAAAGAGGTTGTAGAAACAGTTACTTGTCAAATAAAATTGGACAGATAGTTGTTATATATAGAAACCCAGCCAGAGTGAAAAATGATATCAGGTACACAGAATGTATGCCTACTAATAGTGCCCTTGGATAACTTGCTGGACAAATTTGTGTTCCTGAGCTTATAGGGTTAAAAGTGAATCCCAGCTGTCAGCAGAGCTGGAGTACTGTCTGCAAATACACCTCCACTGTGGTTTGTGTGGATTTAGAGAACTGGAGACAGAAGAATGTTCCTAAAGGACAGTGACATAGAGTAGGGTGATTAAAAGGAAAAAGAGATATAAATGAGAGAAATAGGGAAGTATACTAACCAGGGTGATCTAGGAATTACGTAGTGAGGATGCTGCCTATTATCACCTCCTCTAAACCTAGTCTCACATTATTTTCCCTATCTCCCTCATTTCCCATTCCCCTGGTTACTCTGTGCATTAATCAGATCTCCATGATGGACTCTCTTTATCCTGTGAGCTGAGCCTGCACTGCTGTTCAGAAGCCTTTTGTCTCCTTTGTACCCTACTCACTATACCTTGTGCTTGTTCTACTGTCTTTCCACAGATCATATTAAGCCCTCTGTTCTCAATATTCATCTGCTCCCATTTCTTTTTTTTTTTTTTTTTTTTGAGACTGAGTCCCACTATGTTGCCCTTGGTAGACACAGCTCACAGGCTTAACCCTTGGGCTTAACTCCTGGGCTTAATTCTTAACTCTTGGGCTTAAGCGATTCTCTTGCCGCAGCCTCCCAAGTAGCTGTGACTACAAGTGCCCACCACCACAATGCCCAGCCATTTTTTGTTGCAGTTATTGTTATTTTAGCTGGCCCAGGCTGGGTTCAAACCTGCCAACTTTGGTGTATATAGCTGGCGCCATAACCACTGTGCTACAGGCGCCGAGCCAGTAATTTTATTCTTAAAGCTCAAGTGGAGAGGTGAGGTGTGGTGGCTCATGCCTATAATACTAGCACTCTGGGAGGCCCAGGCAGGTGGATTGCCTGAGCTCACAAATTTGAGACCAGCCTGAGTGAAAGCGAGACCCTGTTTCTACTAAAAATAGAAAAACTAGCCAGGGTGTTGTGGAGGCGCCTATAATCCCAGCTACTTGGGAGACTGACACAAGAGGACTTCTTGAACCCAAGAATTTGATGTTGCTATGAGCTATGACATGGTAGCATTCTACCAAGGGCAACAAAGTGAGACTCTGTCTCAAAAAAAATTAGGCATTATGGTGGGTGCTTATAGGCCCAGCTACTGGAGGCTGAGGGAGGAAGATCACCTGAGCCCAAGAATGTGAGGTTATTGTGAGCTGTGACGCTTTAGTACTCTACAGAGGGCAACAAAATGAGACTCTGTCTCAAAAAACAAAACAAAACTGGGTGGCGCCTGTGGCTCAGTGGCCCTGGCCAAACTGCAACAAAAAAAATAGCCAGTGCTGTGGCAGGCTATTTGGGAGGCTGAGGCAAGAGAATTGCCTAAGCCTGGGAGCTGAAGGTTGCTGTGAGCTGTGTGATGCCTTGGCAGTCTACTGAGGGTGATAAAGTGAGACTCTGTCTCTACAAACAAAACAAAACAAAACTGGGAGGCCAAGGTAAGTGGGTTTCTTGAACTCAGGAGTTTGAGAACAACCTTAGCAAGAGCAAGATCCTGTCTCTAAAAATAGCTGGGTATTGTGGTGGGTGCCTGTAATCCCAGCTACTTGGGAGGATAAGGCAAGAGGACCATTTGAGCCCAAGAGTTTGAGGTTGCTGTGAACTATGACACCATGGCACTCTACCAAGGGTGACAAAGTGAGATTCTTGTTTTAAAAAAAAAAAAAACACTCAAGAGGAACAAGACAAATACAGGATTTGTTTCAAAGTAAGAGATTAGATTTTAAAACTAGATGTTTTTGTCTATAATGTGTTGGTGGTAACAAATAACTAGGAATGTTTTATGGTATTCCCTTTTAGAAGCTGACTACCTACTTGTTGATGAACCAGAGAAGCATCAGGAAAGTAAAGATAATTTTTTGACATCAGCTTTTTTCACATTCAATAAAATTCTGACTATGGAGAGAATTCACTGTTATAATGTGAGAACAAGTCTTAATCCTACAAGAAGTAAATCATACGGGAAGAGTTTGCAACCTAATGTAGACTTTCTTAATTATAATGAAAGTTATAGTGAAGAAAACTCTTATGAATGCTGTGAATGTGGAAAGGCCTTCAGAAAGAAGTTTCATTTCATTAGACATGAAAAATATCATACAAGAAAAAAGCCTTTTGAATGCAATGACTGTGGGAAAGCCTATAGCAGGAAGGCAAACCTTGCTACTCATCAGAAGATTCATAATGGAGAGAGACCCTTTGTGTGCAATGATTGTGGGAAAGCTTTTATGCATAAAGCTCAACTTGTGGTCCACCAGAGACTTCACACTGGAGAGAAACCTTATGAATGCAGTCAGTGTGGGAAAACATTCACTTGGAACTCCTCCTTTAATCAGCATGTGAAATCTCATACACTTGAGAACTCATTTGAATGTAAGGAATGTGGGAAAACCTTCAGATATAGTTCATCCCTTCATAAACATTCTAGGTTTCATACAGGAGAGAAACCTTATCAATGTATTGTATGTGGGAAAGCCTTTGGAAACACATCTGTGCTTGTTACACATCAAAGAATCCACACAGGAGAGAAACCTTATGGATGTATTCAATGTGGCAAAGCCTTTGTCAAGAAGTCTCATCTTCTTAGACATCAGATAACACACACAGGAGAGAAGCCCTATGAGTGTAACAGATGTGGGAAAGCATTTTCCCAGAAGTCAAATCTCACTGTACATCAGAAAATTCATATGTAATACTCTATGAATATGAGAAGGCCTTAAATATTATTTAAATATTATTAAATAGCAGAGAATTCATTGTGAGGAGAAACCCACAACTTGAATGAATTTGGAAGGGTAGAGTCCCATAAACATTCAGTGCCAATTATATTTTAGAATTGATGATAAGCTTTTTACAGAAACAAATCACAGAAAACATGAAATTATAAGTAACAGGTTAGAGTTTGGAAAGTAAACATAAATAATCAAAGAACCAGTAAAACTATACTTCCCATTCCTGGTTTTTACTTTTTATAATAGTACAATTATGCAAGTGAATATAAAATACATGCTTATGCATTTTATTAAATTATACCTATTATGAGTTTCTGCAATAAACATTACCATTTTTTCTTCCAATCCTAACAATAACAGGCATAATTAATCAAGTGAGAAAATGTGGTTTAATATGTACTATGAATTTCAGTAATTCCATCCAATTGCTGGAACTTTAATGAGCATGGCAATGTTGTTGAATGTGCAACTCCTACTTCACAGATACAAAGATTTTTTATAAAAATTCTTAAGTTATTTTCCTTTGTAAAAACAAAAAAATTAACAAGATACTGATTGAAAAGAACAAACTGATCTGTGTTATAAGAAGTATTCAGCTGAGGAAAATAAAGTATTTAAATATGTAAATAAAACATTTGCTCTTCAAACATTCCTGTTTCTTTGGTATATCTACATAAGATGTTAGCTTAAGTGGTATTTAGGCTATTATCTGTATTTGATTTTAATAAAGTAGGATGTCATGATACTTTGTAGAGTTTTAGGGATTTTGCTATTTTCTAAAGAAACCAAAGGGCCAGACATGATGGCTCACACCTATAATCCTAGCACTCTGGGACACCAAGGTGGGAGGATTGATTGAGCTGAGGAGTTCAAGAGTGAGCTGAGCAAGAGTGAGACCCCATGTTTACTAAAAATAGAAAAATTAGCTGGACATTGTGGAGGGCACCTGTAGCCCCAGCTACTCAGGAGGCTGAGGCAGAAGGATTGCTTGAGCCCAGGAGTATGAGGTTGCTGTGAGCTAAGCTGATGTCACAGTGCTCTCTACCTTAGGGCGACAGAGAGAGAGGAGAAAAACCAGGTTACTATGGTATTCAGATCCTGGGAGGAGAGTTTTGAGGAAGGCCATGTAGTCCATAGGGCCAAATAATCTTAAGAAATCAAGTATGGAAAGGATTGAAAATTTTCCATTGGATTTATCAGTAGAGAAGGCATAAATTACCTTAATGAAGATGAATTTCTAAAATTAGAATTGCTGAATAATATTCCCAGGTTGCTCTGCTAAAAAGTACTGGTTTATACTCCTTCCAGCAACAGATGAGGGTATCTTTCCTTGCACCCTCAAGTCTTTTTTTTTTTTTCTTTTTTTGCAGTTTTTGACAGGGTTTGAACAGAGGTTTGAACAGAGGTTTGAACAGGTTTGACAGGGTTTGAACAGAGGTTTGAACCCACCACCTCCAGCATATGGGGCCAGTGCCCTACTCCTTTGAGCCACAGGCACCGCACACACCCTCAAGTCTTAACCTTTGCCCAATGCACTGGGGAAATAATGTCTCGTTATCTTTTTTTCTTCCTTTTGCTTTTGGCATGTTATTGGTATTTGAATGTTTATTTCTTTGATAATTTGTGAGGCAGCATATCTTGTGTTTATTGGCCATTTGTTTTTTCTTCTAGGATTACTCATCCAGGTCATTTTTAATTTGTCTTTTTTTAGCTGGAGTGTGAGGGCCAGCAAGGGCCAGACTAACTCCATTTTGTTGTTTACTCGCCTATGCCTCCATTTTGCAGCTGCATACCAGAAACGTTGAGCAACCACATCTTGCTTCCTCCTCCACCCTTGCACTCGCCCCATGACCGGCACCCTTGCACATCTGCCCCGAGCCATAGCAACCACCCCTAGACCAGTCAGCTTTCCCCAGCACCCTACCCCTCCCTTCTTCCTTTCTGTACCGTTAAAACCTCCCTCCATCTTAGAGTCGGGGCTTCTTTACTCTCCTGCTGCGCCAGGCTCAGGAAGCCCAGGCCTGTAATAAACAACCTCTTGCTTTTGCATTGGACTGGGTCTCCGGGTGATTTGTGGGCATCCTGCGATTCGGGCACAACAGGAGCATTTTATCTTTTTTCTTACTGATTTCTTTTTTACTTTTAAACATACTTCCAGTTTATTAAGGTTAGTGAGCCTCTGCATAGGATATATGTATCTTAAACTTTTTTATTGTTCTTTTAATTATTCTTATGGTTTGAGGCTGAGCTCTGAGGTCCCCGTTATTACCTACCTTTCTCAGTGTTGCCAATCATATTTTAGAAGTGATGATAAACTTTTTACAGAAACAAATCATAGAAAACATTAAATTATAAATAATTTAGGTTTGCCCTTTGTACCACATGTGTTGGTGCTGCTCACTGAAGAGGAATTCCTGTTCCCAGTGTTTTAGGAACCTATTACATTCAAGGATGTGGTCATGGACTTCAGGGAGGAGGAGTGGGATAACTAGACTCTACACAAAGGACCCTGTACAGAGAGGTGATGCTGGAGGTCTATGGCATCCTGGTCTTAGTGGGTGAAGACAACTACTCTGGAGAATTTTGGTTTCCTTCGTTGTTGAAAGTTATGAGCTCTTTGGGTATAGCCCTTTGCTAGGGCTTGCAATTCAGATATGAGATATTTCCAAATTACTACTGAAGATAGAAAAATGTTGCTACCTAAGTAAAAACCTGATTTTCTTTTCCCCATTTGTATTTCTTTCTTTCTTTTCTTTTCTTTTCTTTCTTTTTTTTTCTTTCTTTCTTTCTTTCTTTTTTTTTTTTTTTTGAGATAGAGTCTTACTCTGCGTCCTGAGTGCAGAGTCATCATAGCTCACTACACTGCAACCTCAAACTCATGGCATCAAGTGATACTCCTGCCTCAGTCTTCCTAGCAGCCAGGACTACAGGCACATGCCCCAAAGCCCACCTAATTTTTCTATTTTTAGTAAAGATAAGGTCTCACTCTTGCTCAAGCTGATCTTGAACTCCTGAGCTCAAACAATCCTCTTGCCTCAGCTTCAGCCTTCAAGAGTGCTTGGATTATAGGTATGAGCCACTACATCTGGCCTCTTTTTGTTCTTTTGAGGTAAAATTCATATACCATAAAACAAACAGTTTCAAAATTTACAATTCAATGACATTTAATATATTTACAATGTTGTGCAACTATTACGTCTAGCAAGTTCCAAAACATTTTCATCACCCCAAAAGAAAATTCCATGCCCATTAAGCAGTCACTTCCCATTCCTCCTTCCCTGTAATTATTTTTTGTTAGAAAAATATTAAAACAAAGTATATTGCACATAAAGTAGAAAGTATCTTTCAGACTATTTTCTACTTATATTTATATGTCAACAGGAAGAAAATATGTAACATATATATTTATATTTTTTTGAGACAGTCTCATTATGTCACCTTTGGTAGTGGTGTCACAGCTCACAGCAACCTCAAACTGTGGATTTGAGGCTGGTGGGTTTGAACCCAGCCCGGGCCAGCTAAACAGCAATGACAACTGCAACAAAAAAATAGCCAGGCATTGTGGTGGGCACCTATAGTCCCAGCTACTTGACAGGCTCAGCCAAGAGAATTGCTTAAGCCCAAGGGTTTGAGGTTACTGTGAGCTGTGATGCCACCGCACTCTACCAAGGGCAACATAGTGAGACTGTTTCAAAAATAAATAAATAATAAGAAAATTTAAAAATTCTATATATATATATTTTTAAAAAAAAGAATTCCCATACTCCACATTCTTACTAGCTCCTAATCTTTTTTTTGTTTTGTTTTGTTTTGAGACAGAGTCTCACTGTATCACCTTTGGTAGAGTGCCATGGCGTCACAGCTCATAGCAACCTCAAACTCTTGGGCTTAAGTGATTCTCTTGCCTAAGCTGTCCAAGTAGCTGGGACTACTGATGCATGCCACAATGCCTGGCTGTTTTCTTGTTGCAGTTGTCATTATTTAGGTGGCTCAAGTCAGGCTCAAACCTGCCATGTTTGGTGCATGTGGCTGGCACCATAAACCACTGTGCTATGGGCACCAAGCCAAGTTCCTAATCTTTTTATTCTCTATCTGAAGAGTGGGGTGTACTATCAATTGATGTTCCCTCCTCTCCCCTCTCCCCTCTCCCTGCTCTTCTTCAAGTCTTCTCTTCCTCCCCCCAAAGTGGAAATTCCACTCTTCAAGTTGACTATGCCCAAACCCTTGGAATCATCTCAGACTCCTTCTTTTCACCCCCAAATCAATCCATCAGCAAATCTGTCAGTTTCAAAATATATTGAGATTCCAACCCCTTCTCACCTGCACTGTTGTTACCCTAATCTAACCCACTGTGCTTCTCCATCTGCCTTCCTCTCTTCGCCTTCTCTGTTTCTCTCATTATTGAATATCCGCCTATTCGGTTTTTCTTCGTCCCACATCCCAGACTATTTTCCATGTGGCATCACTGTAGTTATTTAAAACACTAAGTCAAATCATAACCTCCTCATATCAGTGCCCTTCAAGTGTGAATGGTTAAACAAACTGTACATCCATGCCTTGGAATTCAGTGTAGCATAACAAAGAACAAACTACTGATTCACACAACAACTTTGGATAGATTGGAAGGGAATTATGCTAAGTGAGAAAAGCAATCTCAGAAAATTATATACATGTAAGTTCATTTATATAACATTCTTGAAATGACAAAATTATTTCTGCAGAACAGATTAGTGGTTACCAAGGATGATGGATGAGGGAACTTGGAGAACGAAATGGGTCTGGTGATAAAACGGTAGCACAAGGGACGCTGGCAGTAGAGCAGTTCTATATTTTGTTACACAATCCACACAGATAATAAAATTGCATATAGTTACATATGCATACTCACAAATGGGTACCTGTAAAACCAGTGAAATAAATTTATTTACTTATGGAGACCAAGTTTCACTCTATTGCCTTGGCTAGAGTGCAGTGCCTTCAGTCTAGCTCACAGCCACCTCAAACCCTTGGGCTCAAGTGATCCTCCTGTCAGCCTCTTGAGTAGCTGAAACTGCTGTCACATGCCACCATGCCCGGCTAATTTTTCTATTTTTGGTAAAGCCAGAGTCTCACTCTTGCTCAGGCTGGTCTTGAACTCCTGACCTCCTGCCTTGGTCTCCCAGACTGCTAGGATTACACTCAAGGGCCACTACACCCCACCTGATATTTATTTT